TATATATATATATATATATATATATATATATATATAAACTGTGCTAAACATTCCACTGGAATGTTTAGCACAGTTTTCCATTAATTACTGCTCTGAATATGTTTGTTTTCACTAAATAGCCTTTTTATTGAGTCTCTGTAATCCAGTTGACAATTATTTCAATAATCGATTAATCACGATTAATTCGATTAATCACAATTAATGCAATTAATAACTTCAGCCCAGAAATTAAGTGTTTGAGTTGTTTTAGTTTGGGTGTATTTTGTGATGCATTTTGTGCGCCGCGCCGTGTTGAACAGACTCACAGCATCCTGGAAGCTGAACAGCACGACCTGCAGCTGGCTGATGGCGGTGCTGTCAAAGTCCAGCTCCAGTTTGAGCTGCGACAAGGTGGTGGCGATGATTTTCCTGTCAGCCACGCGGACAAAGCCGGCCAAACTCACGACGAGGGTGGAGATGTGCTGAGCCTTCAGCTTCATTTCCTCAGAGCCCTGGAAGTCAATTTGAGTCATTAAATCAGATGCTGATATTTACTTCCTGAGGTTTTCGTCCATCACCCACCTGCGTGAGAGCCTCCATCAGGTTTCCTACCACCTTGTCCTGGTCCTCGGTCAGGATGCGGTTCAGGGTGGCCCGCCTCTCGCTGTCCTTCCGGAGCATGAAGAACCCGGTGTCTTTCTCATCAGGAGATGGAGGTGCGCTGTGGTCCTCGAAGTTTTCCACTGGAATGCTGAGAATAACGTTTGAAAATGTCATTTTAAAACCATAATTTCATTAGACAGGTGCTTCTAAAACATAAGAAGTGGCCATGACACTTAACAATAGGCGTTTCATCTGCTTTAATCAAACTCCAGTCTGTTCGCCTAGAAAGTCCGGTTCGTTTGGGGAGGTCTGAATGTGCAACTGAACTCTGATCTGGACCAAGAAAAACAACATCTAGTCCACCAAAATCTTAAGTCTTGGTTCGGTTGAAGTGAACTCTGGTTTGAAATCAGTTCCAAAAACGGAAAGTGGACTATAACGCAAGGTATTCTGGGTAAATACAACCAAAACAAATGCAAGAGGCTTGCGCTAGCAGGGGAAATGGCAGATAGAAAAGAAATCCCAACCACTAAAATCTGACTCTATTCCATTTCTGTTTACGTTTTGTGAAGAAGGAAGGAATCAGTGTCTTCTTCAGAGGTTTGTTTTTTATATGGGAATGAATTTATAACATGAAGTAAAGCTCAGCAAAGACAAATTTGCACAGAACCTCTCCCTTAAATTAAATATAGTACTCAGGTACCAAGAAGGAAATAATAGTAATAATTACAAACAAGACTTTTGTCTAGTTTGTAATTATGAAAATATCTTAGTCCACTTGAAATAAGACAAAATTAATTTACAATTAACTTTTCAGCACTTTTTAAGTGAATAATTTAAATATTGTTGAAAAAGTACAAATTCCACTTATTAAAGTTAAATAATGTACCACGTTACGAATACTTTTTAAATCAATACTAAAGTAATGACTGCATCAAGTTTGAATGGAAATCTTCAGAAAAATCTATTTTAGGACATACACTGCAAAATCTTTCCATGTATTTTAGGTTTAATTTCAAGTTCAAATATTTTAGTCCACTTGAAATAAAACAAAAATAACTTACAAGTAACTTTACAGCAAGAAACATGAGTTTGTTTCATGTAAAGACATCTTCTTAATATTGATAGAAATTAATTTAATTTATGTTAAAACTGTTTACATTTTAGACACTACAAACCTTTAACAGCATTTAACCTTCACTATAAGAGGTTAAAAGCTGTACAAGAGGTCATTTCTTTTCAAAGCAGAAATCGGACCCCGCTGACCTGCTCCAGTCACTCTACCTGAGGAAAAGCGGCCTCTGGCCCTTGATGTCTCTCTCGCTGTAGCACTTGACGCTGGGCTTGAAGCTGAACGGGTTCGTGTTGAGGTCGTTGTCGGGGGAGACGGAGCCGTACTCGCTGCTGCTGCTGGTGTCCTCCACCACCACCGGCACTGGCAGGGAGATGCTGCGCAGGTACTCTGGAGGATGAAACGAAGGTTAATACACTCCCAAAACTCACACACAGCAAATATTCTGAACTATAATCAAAAATATCTGCTAAAGTTTAAGGAAACACCTGTTATTCTGCATAAAAAACACCTTGAACACTGCAAAAAAAACCTAAATCTTAAGTATTTTTGATCTTGTTCAGATGTACTAATCTGTCTCATCAGTGCAGGTAGATGATGAAGATGGAAAGTTTGTGTTTAATTCAAATTCAATCAAATAAAGAGTGACCTAAATCAAATAAATCCAAATAAACTAGTGTAGTGGTTTTCGTTCTTTCAATAAAGAAAACTTGCAAAATGTTTTTGAAGTTTAGGGTCACATTCAGTTCCTACAAAAAAAAAAATATATATACTTGGCAAGATTTTGTCTTTTTGCAGGGAAGAGAATAAATGTATTGAGGAAGAACAAGCAGACAGACATCTATTGACTTTGCTTCACGTTTATGAAGACTGGAGCATCTTGAAGCAAATTACAGCAAATGATTTCACTTTACAAGCATCTAATAAACTCTTGAATGTGGAAAAAGTTGCTTATAGCCTACTTCAGGTTCTTGGAAAGTGGGGGAGTGGAAGAGAGTGGCAGGAACAGAAATGTAAACTGTGGTTAAGACGCCGGTTTAGACTAAGCAGATGTTCCAAGCAACTGAAATCCAGTAAAAAGAAGAACATTTAGTGGTAAATGTGTCTCACCTGATCCAGACGAAGGAGCTGCAGGGAGGAAGCAGACATTTTAAAGTTTCATTAGAAGAAAACAGGACAGGATTAAACATTTCCAAACACGCAGCTCACAGTGCAGTTTTAAAGCTGTTTCCTAATCTTCTGCACTGGATGCAAACCTCCAGAGATTTTAGACTGAGCTTAAATTCACATCAACTACAAGGGAGGAAGGATGTGGCTACAAATCTGAAAAACAGTTGCTTGAGAAGGAGTTATCTACAAGAGGAGCTGTTGTCAAAAACTTGATCTGAGGTCCATCTTTGGCTTAACGCAGACTTTCTTTCTGCATTAGCAGGTTGAAGCTGCACAACATTGTTCTGTTTGGTTCTGTTCTAGTTTTTAAGACACTTTTTCTACTAGGCAGTGTTTTTTGAAAGCCTTCTCTTAATCTTTACATTTAACCTCAGCGCCCCCACAGTGTTTTTACACTGGTAGATTTGGTTCAATTGGGAGTAAAATGGAAATGTTTGCCATATTTTCAGCTGCTGCAGATTGCTTTCACATTGCTCTGTGTCAAACAAACTAAACGCTCTGAAAAACCTGTTCCCTCCGTCGCCTGTGGGGGCGCTGCAGCAAGAACTACTGAAGGAAATGACACAAAAACCTCTGAAGAAGACATTGAGTGCAACTTCCTTCTTCACAAACTATAAGTAAAACCTAAATGGCATCAGATTTTAACAGTTGTAGGATTTTTATTTTGTCATTAGCAAAAGACAACGAGCTATGTATCCTGCTAGCGCTAGACGTGTTTGTTTTGGTTGTGTTGACCCAGAATTCCCTGCGCTATAGTTACTTCCTGCTTTTGGAACAGTATCTGATCTGCTTGCATTCACATATGCATTTGAACCGCACCAGAGTTCACTTCACTCCCCAAACGAACCAGACTTTCTGAGCAAACAAATAGTCCGCTTCAGTCAAACTCCAAACAGGACTGGTGTGAATGCAGCTTTCACACCAGCCCTGTTTGGTCCGCTTTAATCAAACTCCAGTTTGTTTAGAAAGTTTGGTTCGTTTGGGGAGATTTGACCTAAAAAGTGAAAACTTTGCCTAAAAACCTCAGTCTTCGTTTGGTTGAAGTGAACTCCAATGTGGTTCGAATGCAAACGTGAATGTAAACTGACCGGATACCACTTCAAAAGCAGGAAGTGGTCTGCAGCATAAGGAATTGTGGGTAAATACAAACAAGGCAAATGTAGAGAAGTAGCTTGTGGTATTTTTAACCAAAGACAAAAGAGAAATCCTACTAAAACCTGACGCCACTCCATTTTACTTTACATTTTGTGAAAAAGGACATTGCATCTTGTCTTCTTCAGATGTTTTTGTGTTGTTTCCTTCAGTAGTTGTTGATGCAGCGCCCCCACAGGTGAGGAGGAGAACAGGTTTGTTAATGTTTGGATCATTTGATGCAGTGCAGGGTGAAAACGAACCGCAGCAGCTGAATATGTAATAAATGTTGCACTAATTGAACAGAGTCTACTGGACAATCGGGTGTTAAAACATATTTTATATTTAAGGCTAACGGTTTAGCTAGCCAGAACTTGGCGGGTCGTACAAACCTGCGAGGCCCGTCCTGCTCTTCTTCCTGCGGCTGGTGACAGTGAGGAACTCATCGGTGAGCAGGTCAACGGCGGTGGAGCGCCGATCCGGGTCGGGCTCAAAGCAGCGCAGGATGAACGCTTTGGCCTCCGGCGACATCGTGTCTGGGATTTCTGGATGGATCTTGAACATACCGACCTGCAAAAGAAGGTCAGAAAATCTAATCCGGTATGGTATTTGTTTAAGAAATTAGTCATGTCACCCTTTAGGAGTTAATAATGAAGAAAATTTCATAGGAAAACAAAGTCAGTGCTATAAAAACTATTTCTTTCATTAAGCCTTCAGTTTGTTGATTCAGGCTTAGATGAAGATGAGAGAAAAACAACATGAGGTTGTGACTTCAGACTTTAAAATGAGCCCAATGATTTATTTTTCCCTCCTTTTTAAAAGGTACAGTAGGTACACATTATACCTTCTTTATAGATTCAATGTTCTTCAATTAAATCCCATCATATGGAAAATTCCCCAGTTGGGAGCTTTTACATGAGCACCATAATGATTTCCAGACATCCAACAAGCCTCCTCTATTGTGCTTAATAGGATACACGTGGTTAGGAAAAACAATTCGCTGCTTTGGTGAGCTTTAACTTTCCATCCACAGCAGATACACCATTTAAACTCACAGAATGAATAAAAAAAGGAAGAAAAGGCTCTGCAGCTCGTCAGAGTTCCTCCCTGGAGGCCACACATTTCTGTTTGTGTTCAAACAAACATTTGGGCTCGATCGTGTTGCAGCCCACAGGTGGTAACACAATGCAGGTGCAAAACAGCTGATTCACTTATTATTTGTTACTCTTTCCAACCAGCATCTTCACAGGGTTTTTTGTATTTGTTCAGGGTTTGATGCTCACATTTACACCAGAATATCTCTCCTTCTGAATGGCTGAACATTCCCACGTTGATAAAATGAAAGTGAATATCTGATTTAGCTTTTCTTCTTGACTTTCAGACTTAGATTAACACATTTTTCTTTGATTGATAGACTCCTTTCTGCATTTAAAGACCGATTGAGATCAGGTAATTATCGTCTGGCTTTCTGTCAGTTTATGCTGCACCTTCTCAGGTAACACTGAGTGTGATTTTCTGACGTGTAAAAATAGCAGCTTTTAGTCTGGGAGCTTGCATTTCACTTTCAGTGCAGTTATTTTACAGATCAAGACAGACAGGGTAAACTGGTTTCAGGAGCTGTTGCATTAAAGCGAATATGATGACAAAAGGAAGGTGCCGATGTAACCAAAAGCAACAGAGTAGATTATGAAAAGGATTGCATGCAAAGGTGTGAACTATTTGATGTCCTAGAAGATGATTATGTGTCAGCAAATAAGATAAATATTTCTAAAACACCAGAATGTACAAAACAGACAGATATTAAAAAGCTCAAAATAATTATAAATGGCCCATATTTGTATAAATTTATCATAGCAGGTCTTAAGAGTCCTCTACTGCAAATATGAGGCCATGGTTCAAATCCAGATAGGTTGCTCCTTCAAGTTTCTGCTGTAAGTGGAGGATCTAGATTTACGTTTTACATATTTTTGTACTTAAATTCGAGTCTCAACTGCTTCTGCAAAAACTCAAGTACTTAAAAAAAACAACAAGCCAGTCATTTTGTGGTGTGAAGTTAATGCTTTTTGGTGTCTGGTTAACGAGCCGTTTCAAAAACCTCCTGATATTCAACCTACTGACGGGAAATGTGCGGTTACCTAGCAACCAAAACTGAGCTCCGGCATGTTTGGTCAGCTGGTTTTACCGCTGTATGCGCTGTACAATGGCTGCTGGAAAAGTGTTTTGTTGTTGATTTACCATCCAGAAATCAGTTGCTGCTTTCTTGGTTGTGCAGGAGGCTCCACTGCTGCACTTCAAAGATGTGCGGTTGTATAATTGCGCATCTGTCTGCAGCCATTTTCACGTGCAAGTGTAAAGGTTGAGTTAGGGGGCGTGGCCAGCAGCAGCTTGTTTAGATTTAAAGTGACAGAGCCCTAGAACAGCTCAATCTGAAAGAATCTCAAAAGAAGCAGAACTAACCAGACTAAAATCTGATTATCTAAGAATGATTTTGTGTAAAAAAATTATGACTAGGTTTTGTATAGACCTATCCAAACTTGTTAAAGGTGACCTATTCTGCTTCCTTTAAGTATCTGTTGAATACCAACCTCTCAATTTATCGGTTAGTTTACATTCCAGGGCTCACTCCAAGTTAAAAAGCAAAGACTCGGCAATAAAGATGCACAACATGGGATGATTTCATTTTGCTTTAGGGGATTTTTGAGCAAAATCTGATTCCACTACAGATAAAAATCATACAGAAATATAGAAAATACTGACTTACAGTACCTCTGTGTGGTCCCAGTTATTTACATTACCATCACTACAATCCATTTCAGCTGCTAACGTTTCTCACCTTGAACATGGCGGCTTGTGGTTCTCCAAGCTCATAAAACGGCGGTTTTCCAGTTGCCATCTCGATGATGGTGCAGCCCAACGACCAGATGTCTGCTGGTTTGCCGTATCCTCTTGGGCCTTTGTCTATAATTTCAGGGGCCATATACTGCAGTGTGCCTGAAGAAGAAATAACACACAGATGATAAAGTTTTGCTCTGTTTTACTGTACAGACTGAATAAATAAGAAGCTTACGAAAATAGTCAAATCCCTGGAACTTTTTTACACCACAACAATAAACGTCTAAGTATTTTATTGGGATTTTAAGTGACAATTCAACAGGAAGTGAAGTAGAAGGTGAACTTTTACAAATAAAACTCTGAAAAGTGTGGCATGCATTTGTATTTGGCTTCCCTTTCCTAAAAAAAATCTGTTTAAATCACCTAGTAAACTAGAAAGTTAGTTGCACTAACCCTAAAGAACTACTCATAAACTTAAGATCCACTAAAGCACGAAAACAACACGATATTTAGCAGAAGCTAATGCTAAAGCGCTAACTTCGATTATAATTATATGGACATTATAATTCACATGTTTTACAACTTTTTCTCCATTACCTGTATTTTATTTTGTTCCTGTATGTTTCTTGTTTGAAATAAAGTTATTGGGAAAATAAAAAGTAGAAAATGTAACAAAAGGAAATGGAACTACAGTCTTCACCCTCTTCAAAATAAGAGCATGGAGATAAATGTGTAAAGTTTATATTCTTAACAGTCGATAAGCAAAACTTCAAATGTAGAACTTTATTCAGGTAAAACTTTACAAAACAGCCAAATAAATAAATAAAATAAATACATAAACATATATAGAAGTGTTACTAGTGCAGGTAAAAAAATAAAAAATAAAATAAATTGATAAAAAAATCTCCCATTAAGCACCTTTTATTATCCATTTATTAATTGGTTCGTCTAAATAAATAAGCAACATGTCAGCCCTACACTGTATTGACGTTAATTAAAGCAGATTTTTACAGGTCAATGTTAAAAGTATTTTTTAGCTGTAGACGCATATTTACTACTTCGTGATTGCTTTTTATGCAATATAATTTTACTTCACTGATTAAAAAAGTAATTTAATTGTTTATTTGCATCCTGTAATGTATTTCTAATATTTTATGTAAAAAGGCTTATATGGTTAAATGAAAAATCTGCAGAATGTGTCATTTCTTATCCGATTAATCGCCAGAACAATCGATTAATCGATTGCTAAAACGATCGTTAGTTGCAGTCATTGACATTAGTTATTGCAAAATGAAAAAGCTTAAGGGATGTGAGTACTTTTTCAAAGCACAGTACCATTTCCTGGTCTGCAAAAGGCCACAAACGATAAACTAACAGCGCATCAGGTAAAGAAATGTTACCGCTGTGTGAAAGAACTGATGTAAACACCAAAAATAGCTTCTATTAGAGATAATCATAAATTAACTCGGCTCTGAAGCGATGACACGGTTCCTGAAAGTCTCCATTCAGAGCCTTGTGTGAAGTAACAGCTAAGAGACTCTAATCCCGACTCTAAAGAAAGATTTTCTCATCCCAGCTGAAAGGACTCCTTTGTTCTATTAATAACCTGCTAGGTGCTTATTTGCTGCATTTGGCAGTCTGTGCATTCAGCTAAAATCAGCTGCTGACGCATTTATAGAAGGCGTGGGCTGCTACATCAAGGAGAAGCCCAGTTTCCCAAAAGAGTCCCACTTTTCAGGGTGAGTCCATGTCTGCTCCAGATGGCCTAATTCATGAGGTCAAACTGAGCCACACTGGACTGCTTTTGTGTTGACACAATCCTGCTTGATCTGACCACAGGCTGAAACCCAGAGGCTCCAAATAGCAACAGACGGCTATTTTTAAGGACGTCGCTGGCAGTTCAGCTGAGGAATACGGGATTAACTCTTTAGAAAGGGACACAATATCTCACCAAGTACTTTTGATCTAGCTTTCTGTGCAAATATAATTCAAGTTTCAATTTTCAGCAAGATATATGAGCCTATTTTAAGTCAGTAATCAATAAATATTGATTTAAAAAAGTACTAGTTTAAACTGGCAGATTATTTCACGTTTATGTTTTAAGTAAAATAGTGGTACTAGTCCTTTAATTAAATCAATGTTAAGGAATTATTGACTTAAAACAAGCTCCTATATGTTGCTTAAAAATGACTTATTTTCGGAGTTGGGTAGTAACTAGTTAATTTACTCAGTTACATTTATGTGAGTAACTTTCTGGGAAAAAAATACTTTTAGGAGTATTTCTACTACATTGCACTTCTTACTTGTACTTCAATAACTTTATTATGAATTATCTATGGAAGAATATAAGTGCCACTGAAAAAACAAAAACAAAAAATAATTCTGATTTTTGATTGTAAATGATTAAAGTCAGAATTCTGACCAACAAAAAAGACAAAAATAATAATAAAAAATCAGAATACCTTTTTTTCCCCAGTGGCACTAATCATCTTCTGTAGATACTTCATAATAAAATTACTCAAGTAAAAGTAAAAAGGATAAGTGTAGTAAAAATACTCCTAAAAGGTAAATGTAATTGAGTAAATGTAACTAGTTACTACTGAACTCTGCTCACAAGCTAACATTTCAGCTTTTTACCATTTCTATTTTCTTGGCCATAATTCTCTTCCATAACTATCACTACTTTTTCTTGAGTAAAATTTCTCAACTTCCCCAAAAGAAGAACAAGGTTATGTCAAGATACAAAGCTGCATTTTTTTTAAGTTTCATAAATTTCATATTGAAATAAACTGATTTCAAAATATATATTGTTTCTTGTCTTAATCATGTTATATGTATTAATTATTCTAATTTTGGTCTCTAAAATACCAAACTTTCCACTTATTTTTATACTTTTGTTCATCTGATGATGTAATTTTTAAATTTTAAATTTAAAAATTTTAAATTCAAGGTGAATAAGTCACCTTGAATAAGGTGACTTATTTAAGTCACCTTATTACCAAATACTTTTTAAATTTTACATGAGTAATTTCTTGTAAAACTACTTCCAGGTACTCGCCTGTCTTCTTTTAGATTAGTTCTGTACTAGAAACAAAACAAACACTTGGTAGGATTTTGTGTTTTTGCAGTGCAGAGCGGCTGGTTCCTTTTTTTCAGTTTTGGCAGGAATCTTGAGACACTTTCATTTTACAAATGTTTTGTAAAAACGGAGAGAAAGAACTGGGTCAGTACCTGTGAAGGTTTCAGTGCAGGGGTTGATTCCAGCCAATCTTTTAGATGTGCCAAAATCTGATATCTTCAGGACGCCACTGTAGGTGTTGATGAGGACATTATCACCCTGCGAAAAAAAGAAAAATACCAGAATATTTAAAATGTTAGCCAATATAAATGCTTGAAAATTCCTAACGAATAAAAATGTATTCGTCGTTTTATATTCCTTTGTTAATAACAGAAACAATAAAAAATATATATATATATATTTAAATGTACACATATTTTCATGCCTTTCTTGAATGGCATGTTCTCTTGTCTTCCCCATTTTGAAGAGTGGCTAAGTGGTGTTTTTTCCTTGGCAAATATGTTCTTATATTAAAGACTGATTTAAAAATAATCATTTATTCTAATAAAAGATATTTATTTCAGTCTTTTTCTGGGTTTTAAAGTTGAATTTTTACTATTTTAGTAAACAATCTTGGCTTCTGAAGGCCAACAAGAATAAAAGGAATATAGAATAAAGAAGTTCTAATGACAGAATAATGTAATGTCGTGGATAAACTGAAGTAAAAATCTTTGCAAATGAACTAATGTTTTTATACCAAGAGGAAAAATGACGTTAAAAAAACAGTTTTCTCACGAGTTTTAGTAGTTTCCTGAAAATAATTTCTCTCAAGTCGCTCAAAATGTCTATTTAATTAAAGCTTTATTTACATTTAGTGATTATAAATATATTAAAAAACAGAAATTTGTTTTCCGACATATCTCTTTGCCACAAAATTTGCAATAATAAAATAATTGTTTTATATAAAACAGATTCTAAATATCAGAAACTTATTTTAAAAAAGGACTTCCAGTCTCAGCTAACCAACAGGAACGCAGAAAGTGGTTTTATTATGGCAAGTCAGCAACAAGTGATAAGACCAGCTGACTAAACTTGCTTGGGTTGCTAAGCGACGGGCTGGGGTTGCTAGGCAACGGCCTACAGAATGTGGCTCAACAATCTGGAGGTTTTTGAAAACGACTAGTTTTCCAGACAATAAAAAACATTATTGATGGGTGTTTTTTAAGCAGTTTGACTGTTTTTAAAAGTAGTAGATACCAAAATGGAAGTACAAAAAAATATGAATTTTGTATAATATGTCCGGTTTGAGCCGTATGTGTGTGTATGACGGCAGCAGCCACCTTAATGTCTCTGTGAGCTATCAGGTTGTCGTGCAGGTATTTGAGCCCCTCCAGAATCTGCCGGGTGTAAAAACCGATGGTGGGCTCGTTGTTTTTCAGAGGGCCCCACTTAGACCTCAGCAGTGCCGACAGGCTCCCTGAGCACAAACAAAACGAGGAACAACGTTCACTCTGACCCAAAATCAGCAGCAGAGGATTGATTAGCCAGAATATTCAGAGTTTTGTTCTCACCTCCAGGCACCTGCTCCATGAAGATCTTGATGAAGCCGTTCTCACTGATGGAGCCCAGGTACTGGACGATGTTCTTGTGCTTCAGGTGTTTGTGCAGAGCGATTTCCTCGTGCAGCGGCTGAGAATACCTGCATTATTAAAACATTTTATCATTTGCACAAAACGCATCACTTTTGCAAAGTAAAGGACAAAACATGATGGGCAAAAATGGAGAAATGTGTTGACTTTTCCAAGACTGGAAGGACAAAATTACATAATTCCAGAAGTAGGTAGAGGAACCAAAAACTGTTTTCACACAAGAGTAGCAATCATTCAACATATTTTTACTCAAGTAAAATTAAAACGTAACCATCCAAGAAACTACTCAAGTAAGAGTAAAAAATAATTTGATAAAAAGTACTGAGTAACTGATCAAATTATCATTTAATATTTAAAAATTACATAATCAGACAGAACTAAACACAAAGTTAAGTGGATATTTTGGTATTTTAAGGATGAACATGACAATAATAAAAATAAGAAATAAGAAAATTTTCCCAAGTCAGTTACTTTCAATAAAAAACTTATGAAACTGAATTTTTGGTTTGTTTTTCAACCACAAATATCAAAAATGGAAATAAAATTTAAAAAATAAGATGCAGCTAAAAATTTAAGCATTTAAACTAATAAAATTATATATTTTTATATATTAATAAATAATATAGAATAGAAAATTTAGAGAGATTTAGAGAAAAACGGGTTTTCCCTGAAGCTGAGGCATTTTGCCTTTCAGTTGGATGTAAAATTGTTGCCTTTTGTTCTGCACAGGAAGAACATTTTGCAGCTCTGTCCTCTCAGTGCACATTTCCTTTCAGGTGACAGAAGTAGAAAAGGCAGATCCAGACACCGAAAACCCAGAAAACCGAGTCTGAGCTGCAGGGCGAATCCAGAAACCCGAGCAGAACAAAAGATCCCTGTAGGTTGAAGAAATGCCTGCCAGCTATTTCTCCTCACACTCAGCCCCCAGCATGAATCACCCCCTCCGTCCGTCTAGAGATTCCTGTCCTGCTATAAATTATTCACACAGAGTTCTCCGCCGCCGAGCAGCCTGCTGACTTTCTGGTGATTAGTGGAGCAAAGTGTGGCACCGGGATCGTCTCGTCTGGGAGACGAGTCTTGTGGCCGGAGATGAGTAGGTGGAACCGCGAGGAGACGGAGACGGGAATAAAAGGCAGAGGAGAGGTGGTGTAAATTTGCTTTCCCAGCTCTTCACTCAGATAGAAACAAGTTGCTGGAAGCCTGAAGTGACATCGCTAACATGTGATCTGCACTCAACAGAAACGCTGACCGGGATTAAGCTTTTACAGCTGAGGCGCTTGGTAACATCCGACGCCTGGATGGAGTAAAAACAGCATGCAAAATATATTTTACATACTGACGCTTTGCAACTACGTCACTTAAACATTTGAGGCGCCACGAGGGACAAATGTGTCTAAGGCCAAAACAACAAGTTCACAATTCCAGTACAGCGTTTCCCCAGAAAACGTGCTAAGCCTGGCAGTCATTCATCCAGCGACCTGTCATGTTTTTGAGTTAAAAATGTCTGAAGTTGACAGGAAGTTTGAAAATATCATTTGATAGTTATGCGTTATTGGAAGACTGGAACATTAATCCCTAAACACCAACTATAAAGTTTTAAAGGCAATAATTAAAAAAAATTTAAATAAATTAACAATGCCCAGCCTGAAAACTGCCAAGCAAAGCCTGGTGGCCCGCCAGGCTTATGATACACTGTGGGAAACTCTGCAGTATTTCCATTAAATAAGAAACACAATTAAAATCACATGTGAATAAGTTTGTTCATGTGATAACTCTTACACAAACATCCTCCTCCAACCACTTCCTGTCGTCGTCTTCATTGTTTCTGCCAGTAGTAACATCCGATTTTTGACAACATGACTAAAAATAGTGTTTCCATCGCAGTTTTGTGAAATACATTGATTTCGATTCAGCCGCAAAATCACCTCAACCTACGGTAAAACTTAAATTTGACATAGCCGTGTTTCCATTAAGCAAATTTTTTTGTAATTCCAATTTGTGTCCAATTTGAGTCTAAAGTTTGTTTAGATTAATCAAAAAATCTAAACAGATCTCTTGTTTTTTAATCTAAATGAGAGATAACTGGTTAAATAAAGGTCAAAACGAACAAAAACAGCAGAAAAACGTTGAGTGACCATCTGACCTGCTGTCTCTCTCTGGGATTTCCTTGATGGCGATCCGGACCTGGTTGCTGAGGTCCCGGCCTGCGTAGACGACGCCGAACGTGCCTTTTCCCAGGATCACCCTCTCTCCGTGTTCGTCGTACTCGTAGTCGTACTGCAGAAGCAAACAGAAAAAAACCCAAGAGGACTAAAACTGATACTTGCATATGTATGAAACAAATCCAAAGCAACGACTCAGAACAAGTTTTTCTTTTAAGCAAGACTTAAACCTCAATATGGAAGCTCATTAAATAAGGCTTTTTACTGAATACTGATTTGTTTTTTTTATTCAGGAATCAAAACATGCATGTTGGAGAGAAACCTCTCAAACGTGTTTTGTGCCATGCTGAGCGGAAGCAGGCGCAGCAGTATGTGTGTGTGTTTTTTTTTTATTCATTTTTTGAAGTAATGAGCTTTTCTTTTCCATCGCCTCGGCTGCACAGACAGGTGAAAGTTAGCAGCAGGTGCTAAAACACACAAACAGCAGGAGCAGAAATCCAGGCCTAATCGCAGCAGGTCTCTAACTGTTCGCAGATGTGCTTCAATTCAGTCCTTATCATGTAAAAGGAAGAGATTTCAATTAGAACATTTCTGAAACTCTAATAAGCAAAAAAAAACTTTCAGGAGAAATAATTTAAGCTTTAAAACCGAGGCGTGTTTGCTTTCAGTGAAGGGGAATAAGCATCATTTTCCTTATGAAATACAGAGACTTTCTCGCTGCTTTGAATAAAACTAACTCACTTCCTGTGACATTTTAAAAGAACTTGTGAAGCAAAACAGGATGCAGCAAAATCAACGACAATTTTACCACATTTCTTCTGTCTTAGCGACGTGGAAAGTGCAACAGTTTGTGGTGAAAAGCAAAGAGATTCCCAGAGAGTAAAGACTAAAACTGAAAAGGTGAATGACTTTTTACAATATAATGAAAACAACCTGTAGCGGGAAATATAAAAAAAATACAATTTAACGACAATAGAGAGCATTAAAATTGGTAATCGTCTCACCTCTAAGGCATCAGTGTCACAGTCTCCTTCGTCAGGACATTTAAAGGCTTCCTCTGTTATACTGTTGACCAGATCGCAGAACCTGCCGAAAACAAGCCGAGTCGTCAAGAAATGCTGAATATAAACACAAACTTAAAGGGGTCCATAACCTAAACCTTTTACAATATGAGCCAGGATCCACATTTTTCCACAAAATGTTTTTTTGATAATTAGTTCCCGCTCAACAATAAGATAAACATAAAATATTTTAAACAAAGAAAATAGTCTGATTTTTTTGTAGAAATGTAATATGTAAATCATTGCAGATAAAAAAAAATCAAAAGGATTTTGTAGGTTTTCCTTATTGCAAGTACACCAAGCCCTTTGCTCATTTATTTTGGGCTCAACTGAAGAAAACTGAAAAAGTCAGCAACAAAAACAAGATTTAGGCCCTTTTTATTTGAAAAAGTTTTAATAGTGTCAGAAAGTTTGTTATTAAAAGATGAATACTTTATGTTGTATCTGACATTTTTAATTTATGGGTGATAGTTTTATCATAAATCTGCATAGACTACCTGCCATAGCGAGACACATTTTAATCATTCAGGGTCCGCAGACGGCCCCCGGGCCACACTTTGGACACCCCTGATTTAACTAGTAAAGTCTGGAGTTTTGCTGTTTGTCTTTCATTTAGAAGAATTTCATAAAGAACTAATAAAATAGAGCTTACTACAAAAGTGATCACATAGTTTTATAGGACATTTTTAATATCATCCAGCTTCAGCAACAGTAAGTTGCAATAATATATACTTTATCAAGAAAAACAAAGGTTTCCATATTTGCTATTTCATTATCATTATCATGATAAGAGTTTAGATTCATCGTTGTCTTGATAAATTTCAGTTAATGATGTTTAAAACTCCCCAAACGTTCCTTACCGTCAGGTTTAATACTTTATCCACTGTTTGTTCAACGGCGGAATCAATAAATACTAATCAAATTAAAAATACAGTAATTGTGTGCAACTTAGTGGATAAAAAAAATCACACTCCTTTATGTGACCTAAGCACATAATGCTGTGAATGTTTTTCAAGAGAAATATTTGTTTTCTGCAACCGCCTGAAAACACAAAACGTAATGAAGATGTCAAAACAAGAAAAAATAAAACTCCATGGAATATACGAGATTAAATATCCTGCCATAGGAACATTTAAAAAGGTATGCAAGGCCAATTTATCTTATTCTTTCCAATTGATTTTAGACACTTTAGTAGCCCTTTAAGGCCCAAGTTTCAAATCTCCACCTGGATACTTTTTGTTTATTCTAATTGTACAAAGTTCTTTAAATGTCTTGGGAGTCAATATTTTTGCCCATTTCTCCATAACAACTTGTCCTTTCATCATCTAGCAGTTATTTAGTCTATTAAAAGAGTGTCATCAGATTAAACTGAAGTAAAACATGCTTCCTGCAACAAAGTGAAATTACCATAACAACCCGATGTTGGCTGGAAAGAGGAACGCATCACAGAGTTACGTTATCGTTAGTCGGTGAAACCTTTCAGCCGGTAAGGGTTAGTTTAAGATTTTAAAATATTCGCAGACACAAAAACGTCTGTAGAAAAAAGCATAAGGTGATATTTAAAATATTTTAAAAAGGTCCTTCTGCAAATGCTGACACAGATTTCACAAACGTTGAATGTTAGAGGGTGTTATACTGCTGCTGATGTTTCCCTGAAGGGGTTACAGTTTGTTTACTCGCGCACTTCCCACCGCATGCATGCAGTGACCTTTGCCGGTTGCACTGCACACAAGCTGCGAGTTAACACATCGCATCATCATGCTGTCATGCACAGCATGCCAGCAGGTGTTCGCTGGCAGCACGTTTCTTTGCATTAACGTGCTCACATGCCAGCATTACTTTAAATGAGCAGAAAACAAGCGCTCTACGTCGACGCGCTGCTGTCGGCTTCCTCCTACCTTTTATTTCCCCTGTTTTTACGTCTCTTTTCTCGCCGTCACTCCAGAGGAACCAGGAGCAGCATAATAGCAGCAGCAGGCATGAGTCACTTACTCTCACACTCCAGATAATGGCACAGGAAGCCTCAGATGTGAGAGTCACAAGTCAGAACGCACTGCTTCAAAGAGCAGCTGGCGGGGAACATGACGGTGTGGAAATTAAAGAAGATGGTTGATAGGAGAGAGACATATTTCCCACCAGGATACGGAGCTGACAGGAGTGAAACGAAGGGGAAAAAACTCCAAAAATTTAGATGAATTATCGTCTAAACTGCAGATGATGTCCAGAGAGATTTCACAAATGGCTAAAAGGTAGAAATTTTCAGCATTTCTTAAAGCAGGAGTGTAAAATATATCACTGATTGGCTCGCAGCAAGCTAAGATTAAAGGTACATCTTCTGATGGAGCACCACAAGGTTCTCTACTTGGCCCAATTCTCTTTAATTTATGATTCCAATTCCTAAAATAATCAGACAACATGGGATGCATTTCCACTGATATGCAGCTATATTTATCCAGAAATCCTGATGAAATGTACCGCAGGTCTGGAAAACATAAAAACCTGAACGACCCAAAGCTTTTAAATTCTGTTAAGACTGAATTAGTCATTTCTGGACCCGTGCCTCCGTAAAAGAAACTGTGTAGTCCATCATTAACATTTGATAATGGAGAACGTGACGGTGTGGAAATTAAAGAAGATGGTTGAGACATATTTCCCACCAGATGCAGAGCTGATAGAAGTGAAACGAAGAGGAAAAAATCCTAAACAATGTAGAAATGTTGAGACCAGATGTTAACGCAGGAATGGACCGTGTATAAAACCACAAAAAAACTAAATCAGGCACAAATAAATCTCACTGATTGGCTTGCAGCACATCCATTTTAAAAATAAATCTTCTTTACACTGCAGGGTTACTTGTGGAGTACCACAGGGTTCTCTACTCGGTCCAGTTCTCTTTGGCTAAAATAATCAGACAACATGGGATAATGTTCTTCTGCTACGCTGATGATATTCAGCTATATTTGTCCATAAATCCTGATGAATTATATCAGTTAGATTGCAGGCATGACTGGAAAACATAAAAACCTGAATTATGCTAAAATTGTTACTTTTCAATCCTGGCAAAACAGAATTTGTCGTCTTTGGATGTGAGCCTCTGAAAAAGAAACAACTTAGTCAACCACTTAATCTGGATGCCATTAAACTGTCCTTAGATCACGATAACGTAAAACTAACCTCTTATTTTTGACTAGGATATTTAAATCCCATATTAAATGGGTTTCTATAATTACTGAATACTGACAGTTAGAAATATATTGTGCAGCAGCTCATGTGACCGAGACACATTTTCAGCTGACTTTAAATAGTTATCTGTCATTTTTCAGGAATACAGAAAATTATATTACTTTTGTTTCACAGAAGTAAAGTCTTAGTTTAAATACAAACACATAAATTGAAGAAGTAAAGTTTTAAAATGATAAACTTTCACATTTGTTTTTTGTCACAAAGCTTTGGCCTCTCTCTTTTGCAGGTTGAGTGTTTAATAATCCTGCAAAAAAAAAAAAACTCTTACAAAGCTCTTTTAATATACAGAACTGCATTTAATAACGCTGACAACAGTACTGTACTTCAAAACTAATAGTACAGCCCTGCCAAGCAACTGTAATCATGTTTAGGGAAGCATTATTGTGTTTGCTGGCAGCTGCATTCAGCCAAGAAAGCCTGTCTGACGCAGCGGAGAAGCTGGAGAGGCAGACCAACCTTTTACAGTGCATCTCTGTGCAGAAATAGATCTGGAAGTCCTCTGCATTATGCAGGACGTAGAGAAAGGCACTGCGTTCGTCAAACTTGGAGATGCTGAGGAGGAACAAACCAGAGTTAGTTGAAACCTGATCACATGCACAGAGATATGACTCATATCAAATGAAGATTAGCTAGTTAGCACTCTTGGATATTAAATATCAGGATGCAAAATGTGCACATCTGTTAAATTAAATGAACCCAAGCACCGCTCAGACATGTGCTGCAGGATACTGCTTGTTTTTGCACAAATACTCCACATCAGCTCAAAGTTTTATCAAATGAGATGATTGCTTGTCCGATTCTAAGCGTGCCAAGGCCGGATATGCTGAGCCAGTGTCTGCATGTGTGGTTGTATTGTAGCCTGCAGAGCCATTTTTGTGTCCTGCTGCTGTCTGCAGGCAGAGTGGGCACGGAGAAGGAGTCGTTCCCTAGCAACATGTGAGGACGGCCCTCCACTTCTCTGCGATCTGACACTGAACTCCTTTGAGAACCGCGGAAAAATAGGTGCAAAGCAAGCCATTATAAAAACAGTAGATGCTAGATCGAGACTCTGATGGAGTCTGCAGACGTGACCGGCATGTTTTCATGAAAACCTGCAAGCCGGAAGGTTTTCAGGAGTTCATGCATCGAATATCTGGAGCCGCCTCGCATTCGTTAGCAGAAGATTTATGCATATAGTAAAACATTACAACCAATGCGCGTAGGTTTCAGTTTAAAGAAATTTAGAAGTTCGAACAGAAACAAATCCTGGGAACCACAATATGCATCAAAAATCTCCACACAAAGCAGAAAACGAGCTTCCTTTCTGCAGAAGCCGCTCAGCATTTCGGGACAAGAGCGTCCCTGTAGAGCTGAGAGCGAAGCAGAGACTCCCAAGAGTCGACTGATTGATAGGCAAACTCATGGAAACATGAATTCCCATCCAGGCTTGTAAATACTGTCAATAATTCAGAGCATGCTATTCTTCTCATCTATAACTAAATTTAGAAAAGAATGTCAAGCATCAGATTTCACAGTTTGAGCCAAGATTTAGTGGATTTTCCACTTGTCCCTTCCTTCTCTTTTGGTGTTTGTATCATCTTTGTGAAATCATGGAAACAAACAGCAACAATAGTCTTCATTCACTTCAGTTCTTCATTTGCTGGGAGAATTTCCAAACTCAAATATTGAAATATCTTGGAATTGGGGCTATTTTCTGACGTAAATGTTCAAAAACTGACAAAATGTTTTCATTCCGTTTCTTCATGCCATTGCATGCAATTTATGCTCAAATGTAGGGCTGAAACAATCAATCAGATTACTTGTGATTAATTAATTACTCAAATAACTTCAACTAATTTAGTAATCAATTAATTATTTGGAGAACACAGATTCAAAAAAGAAAGAAAAAAACATATTTAGACAGTAATTAACAAAAAACTTAGTTGCATTATGATTAAAAAAAACATTTGTCTGTAAATATGTTTTACTCAAAAGTCTCCAAGCGGCAGTTTTAGCTTCACCTGGTTCGCGTAAGGAAAGCAAAGAAATCTGAATACTTGCTTATTTGTCTCTTTCAATGTATTTATAGTATTGTACAAAAAAAGCTTAAGATATTAAATGAAAAATCAGCAAAATATGCCAATTTTTGTCCGACTAATTGATTAATCGTCAAAATAATCGATAAAAAAAATCGTTAATTGCAGCCCTACTCAAATGTAAACAAAATGTGATCACTTTGATGAAAATTTCAATATAATCAATGCAATAAAAGTCTAGTAGAAATTTATTTCTAACTATAATAAAGCATCTTCAGGTTTTAGAGAATCCCACAGAAATGACCATGAAATCCCAGATTTAGTCCTGTTAGCATATTGCTAAAAATAATCGACTCATCTCATATTGAATACATTCTGATTTAGTTTGGGACACAGACACAAGCTGTCACTGTAACTTCTGAGGCGTCATGCCGACGTTGACGCAACAAGGTCTCTGTTAAGAACTGATTGCCTTTGGTCCGTTTTGAAAAGACTGGAGAGCATAAAAAACTAACAGGTGACACAACCTTGGTCTGACACGACTCGTTCTGAAGCAGAAATTTCAAATTACGGCAGCAAATGCTTACCTGACGCCTCGAACAGATGTGGCAACGAAGTTCCACTCATGTATCCCCTTGTTCTGTGAGAAAATAATAATAAATCAAAACGGTATAATTACTGTTTTGCTGCAGTGGGACATCAATGTTTTTCCTGCTGGTGGCAAATTGAATCGTTACAGGAATATTAGTCTGAGGGGACAATTTAAAAGTAATAAAACTCAAATTGAGACTGCTCAAGCTTCAGGAACATTATTATCTTGAAGTATTTTTATCCACCTGCATTTTTTAAATTGGGAGTTAAATGCTTTTTATGAATAACATCATATTACAGCCATTTCATTTTGTTTATGTTGATTAGATCTTTACTTGCTGCTCTTCAGCCTCTCCACATAGTTTGTAAAAAACATTTTTTAATCATATTTTGCTTTTGAGCTGGAGTGAAATTGAAGAACTAATACTTGAAACTTCCTGGATTGAACTTGGAATAAATATTCAGATAATGTAGCTGATGTACTGTAGTTTCTTTTCTTGAAACAATTTCGAAGAAGAAGCTACGTTCCCAGCATCCTGCACAAGTAAACCATAACCTTCTAAAAAATAGATCATCCTCCTCTCGTCTCAGGGATCTTTCTAAGATTTCTGCTCTTCTTTCTAGGTGAGATCTGAAAATATTTCTTCATGCTTTTGAAACCTCCAAGTTAAATTTGGATTATTGCATCTCTTAATATGAGAATAATTAACCAGGTCAAAATGCAGCTTTACGATTCTTACAACTACAAATAAACATCAGCATATCTCTCTGGTGTTAAACTCATTGCACTGACTTATTTGTTACTTTACACACTCTTTGAAAAACTGGCTCAAAAACCTCTGAGGAAGACATTGAGCACAACTTCCTTTGTCACAAAATGTAAACCAAAATGGAGTGGCGCCAGATTCTGGCGCTTGTAGAATTTCTCTTTTGTTGTTAAAAGATCACAAGCCATTTCTCCCGCTAGCGTTCGACTTACACGGTTGTTTTGGTTGCATTTACCCAGCATGCCCTGCACTATAATCCCTATTCTTGGGTTCACTTGATGTTCACATATGAATTTGAACCAGGGTTCTCTTGAACAGAACCAAAACCTCAGTTTTTGCTGTTTGGTCTGCATCAGATTTCGAACCAGAAAACACTCAGTGGGAAATTAAAATCGATTGTTTAAGTTCCCAATAATAAATAATGATAACAACAAATATTAAAGCAACAACTCGAAATCAAAGAAACACAACTGGAAAGTTTTAAATCCTGGCACATCACTTTCTTTTTCTTGTTTGTCTCAGACAATGTGAAACTACAGAGAATCAAGCAGAAACTGAGTAATGCCATGATGACATTATCATGTATCCTTCAGCACAATTTCTTTTGTTCTGGAAAATGTGAAGAACACAAAGAACTACTGGAAAAAGTGACATTTTTATGAACGACAGAGTAGTTGGATACGCACCTTATCGTCTGGAGCAACGTGCCAGATGGACACGGTGTTGTCTTCCACATCTTTGTTTATGGACAAATACGAAGGCTGGTACACTTTCGTCGGCTCCAGTATCAACACCTTGAGGGAAAGATTTATTATTCCACTTTTTATGAATGAGTTCAATGCTGTAGTGCTTTTCTTTTGTGGGGCAGAACTGAATTTGTTACTGACAGGAAATCGAACAGAGGAGACGTCTTTTTTGGTCGATTCCACTAAGAAGTCCATCCAGAAGTCCACCAGCTCCTGTCTGGGTGCCGGCGGCTCGCTGCCGGGCTTCTTAAAGTGCTGGTAGATCAAGATGGTTTCCACCAGAGAGCGCAGGTACCTGAACAGACCAAACCAACCCAGTGAAAAACCATGTAAACAGAACAGGAGGGATTTTCCCCCACACAGCAAGACAAAAAAACAATGGGATCAAGAAACTGTGCAAAAGTCTAGAGTAACATCTTAAAATAAACCCATCGTGCTCCCTTGAACAAGTTACAACAGGTGTAAAGTTACATCTTTCACACAAAATTATTCTTATTGTTCCTGATTTCTGGTCACTTCTGCCTATTTTGAGCTTCTTTCAGAATGAGCTGTTTTAGGGCGTCCGTCACTTTAAATCCAAACCCCAACTCTGATTGGGTTGCTAGGCGATGGGGCTGGGCTCCGGTGAGGTTGCTAGGTAACGGCACAAAGGAAAAGAGTCAAAATAAATTCTGCTCAACATTCAGGCACTTTTATATCTGTTACTGCAGTTATAAGGATGTAATATTATTTATATTAGCGAATATTATTAGTGTTCACTACATTTTTATGATTGTGGTGACAGTCATAAAAATGTAATACTACTTATATTAGTGAATACTACATCTATAGGTAGTATTCACTACTTATAGCTATATATTATATTTGTTAGGAAGAATTAAGGGTTTAAAATCAAAGTAGAAAGATCTGGATGAAAAGCAGAGAGGCAGCTGTAAATTGGATTTTTAGGGACTTTTGTTGACTTACAAAGAAACAATTTAGTAACTGAACTTCAAATATTTGAGGAAAAATACCAACAAAAAAATAAAAATAGTTTTCTACATCTGGCAGGTTTTTCTTCCAAAGAGCTGCTAGCTGAAAAAAAATTAAACTCAAGGCTGATGGATCTCATATTCTCCTTCAAATCGACGCAACATGGGACAAATTTATCCCCATTTTGATTATAAGCTCAATAAAACTAACCAGACTAACAAATAGAAACATTTCAAAGACACACAGATGCTAATTTAACTGATTCATTTTTTCCTGAGGCTTTTCTTTCACATCCCTGCGAAGACTAAAAGAGCAAACACATTCTCCTGTGATCTTTTCTCCTCTTAAAGCAAAATGCACCAAATGTTTTCACAATGGCCACAGATGGCCGCTGCGCCTTCAAGGCAGAGTCGAGCGCACTCCAGATCAAAACGACACTGGGAGCAGTCGGTGAAGGAGTTGGACCAAAATGTGCTTTTTTTTTTTTTTAGGATCTGAGAAAGGCTTGTACATGTTCGCACCAGATGGGAGCCTTGAGCTTGAAGAGCTTCTCGGAGGCCTGGATGACCCTGGTGTTGTCGCAGGCCAGGATGCTGGCGCCCAGGAAGAAGCCCACATCCCAGTAACTCTGCAGCTTGTCCAGGCTGCCCTTCTTCCCCAGCAGGCTGCTCAGTTTAACTCCTGGAAAGCAGAATCCAGTCAGCGCACATGAGCATTTCATCCAAAAAAGGAAACATTGACAAGTCGAACCAAACTCAAACAAACACCAAGGTACTTCAATGCTCCGCTTGGATGTTATGTAGTTGGGATTTCAGTTTTGCATGTTTAGTTTCACTGTTAAGGAGAGTTGATCATTTTTTCATAAAGTATTCAGCTGCAGGTAGACTGAAAGTTTCAGTCGCTAAAAGCTTCAACACTGCAAAAACAGAAAGTAATACCAAGTATTTTTGATTTAGTTTCTAGTGCAAATACCTTAGTACACTTGAAATAAGACAAATGAACCTAAAAGAAGCATTTCAACAAGACTTAAGAGCTTGTTTTAAGTAAATAATTCCTTAATATTGATGGAGAAGTAAACTAGCTCCACTGGCAAATGATTCAACAAGACATTTCTCCATGTTATAAGTTAATTTATCAGCGTTGGAAGAAGAACTTTTTCATCAATATTAAGGAATTATTTACCTAAAACAAGCTCCTATATCTTGCTGAAATGTTACGTCTAAGTTCATTTGTCTCATTTCAAGTGCAATAAGATATTTTCACTAGAAACTAGACCAAAAATACTTGGTAAGATTTTGTATTTTGGCAGTATAGAAGCTAATTTTAAGTAATTTCTTAAAAATGAAAAAGCAAATTTTACTCATAATACATTTTTCCCAAGAGATTTACATTTTCCCATCATTACCAGGTAAATGGAGTAACGTGTGATATGTAAGGCACCTTAAAGCTGAAAATGTTTACAAGCAAAAGACTTTAAACGCTAAAGGAAAAACATTCAACACATGAGCTTAGCTGTAATAACACCAATATAGCAGAAATGGTTGTGAATAAAGGAGCAATCTTCTGAAGGAGGTTTAAAGACTTCCAGTCAACCAGGAAAACCCAGTTCAGTGACAAACAAGCCTTCCTGGGCTCATTAGTCTTTATTGAACACATAATGAGCGCACACCCCGACAGAGAGGGAGCCATCAACGTTTATATTGTTACTGAGGAAACAATCAGAGCTAAAGCACCATTTATGACAGGCACTTAAAAAATAAACCCAATAAAAACCATTTTTCACTTTAAAATACGTAGAAGATTGATGTGAGGGCATAAAAATGTTTCAACGTAATGAAGGATTTCCTGCACAAAGGCAGGTATAACTTTAATCAGCCACAGGTTAATCAACAGGTCTGCTTACCGACTTTTCGGAGTTCGAACGAAGAGTCAAACTGGTGTCCAGCTGCCAGCAGGAGAACCGCATAGTTGATGCCAGAGTGTAGTGTTGGCTCAGACTCAAACCCCTTTTTAAACCTGAGAGCAGAACACAAAGTCCAATAAACACGGTTCCTCCAAGAAATGCGTCATCCCAAAAACCCAGGCCTCTCGGAGGCATCATAAAACATTCACAGGGCTTTCAGAGATAGTTGAGGATGGAGGAAAAAACAATTAGACTTATTGAGCTGGGGCCACAAACTGCCAACCTGCAATCATGAGTGCTTCCAAATAACGAGAGATTTCATTCATTTAATGACCAATCTGCTCTGCTGCAGAATGATGTGCGAAACTTATTAGAGCCCCATGCAAGCTTTCTTTTTTTTTAGATGGAAACTGAAAATACCAGCCAGATGGGAGGCTGATTATCTCTGCTGCATGTTCAGTGAACAAATATATGAGGTTTTAATTGCCGTTTTCTGTTAGTGATAATCAGACGGCTTGTGTTGTTGGGCAGGTTTCAGTTTGCTCTGACTGGTCCCGAGTGTTTCGCTGTTCTCCAACGGAAAGACAAACTGTTTACACTCACATCTGACTTCATGCTGTGGAGGATTTTATTGTTATTATGATGCAGCTTACATTAAAATAAACCTTTTTTTCCCTCACAACAGGGTTTATAAGAATGAAGCTTCTGCAGGAATATGACTTTGTGTTGGGTTGAAGTGTTATTCATAATAAACTACAATGAATAGTAAAAAAAGCAAAATTATGCAAAATCTTCCAACATTATTCTTGTTTTTATCCATTTAGTTTTAATGATCAAATTAAATGCTCTGCAGGATTAACAACTTCATTGCAATAAAGTTTGAAAAACTTGTTGGAAGGTTTCAGAATTTTTCTTTTATTTTTTGCTTCTTCTTTTAAGTTTTTTCATTTTTCTCTTTTTATTTCTAATTTTTCTATTTTCCCCATTTTTCTTTTTTCTTTTTCCCACTCTTCCAGTTTTCCTTTTTTATATTTTTCCCCATGTTCTTTCCCCCCCTCCTTTTATAAAATAATGAATCTTTGGGTTTCACTGAAACATAAACTTATAACATTTTTTGCAGTGCAATAAAACTAATATAAATTTATTGTATCCAATGTGGTATTCAAATCTGATGAAACTTTAAACATTTCTCTCCTCTTATACGCCATTAAAATCTAATATCCTAACATGACCGACACCCTTTCTGTTCCTACTCACATTTTTTGTGCATATTTGCAGCAAAGTGTGACAAACTGAATAATGTAAAAGGATGTTTTGCATTCTGTTGCTGTAATCAGATGCAATTTGCTGAAAATACAAACCATAAATCTTATTACCTACAAATCGTTTTGCTTTCCCACTAATTGGAAATGTTGGATTAGAGCATCTTGCCATGATGAACTACAGTGAGTCACCACAGTTATTATGCATCTTGTCCCTCAAAAAACTTATTTTAACAATATTTATTGGTGACTCAGTGTCTGGAAGAGGCAAATGAGCAGGAATGTAACCGATACGCAGATCAGTCTTCCCGCCTGGTTTTCTCACCACAGGGTGCCTTTGTCTCTGCTCTGAGTGTCGGTGAAGTGAGACTCCAGGAACATGTCCTTATAGATCCGGCCCACCATGCAGTAGATGTCCGACGCGACCTGCTCCTCCCCTTCCACCAGGGGCAGCATGATGTCCAGCGCTTTCTGTCTGTCACCAGGCAGGTTCCTCCTGCAGTCACACAAACACACACGAGTGTCAAAACACACAAAAAGCAGAAACGGAAAACAACGAGTCAGTCAGAAATCTAATTTCACACACTTTCCAACTTGTGTGAGACGTTTGGCAATAACAAAGATGCTAATTAATTGGCTTGGAGCACAGATCCAGACATGCTGGTTGAAAACTGGGAATATCTTTCGTAATTAGACTGTCTTAATGTTGAAGTGTCATTACAACATTCTTAATCTGGGGAGATATTCGTGCAATAATGAGCTGCGTTACAGGACGAGGAGGGTAATTATGTTCTGATAAGTTTCTCTTTAATCTGTCTTCATGATGTCTCCTACAAACAAACTTAAAATGAGAAAAAGTAGCTTCTAAAAACTTAGGTTTTGTTCCATTTCTGCCACAAATTAGGTAAAATCAGACTGAAACGATTAATCATATTAATAACGATTAATCGATTAATCGGAGCATAAACAAAAAAAAAGCCAATTTGCTGTAAGAACAAAAATACTCAAATGAATAATTAAGGCCAAAACTGTAAAAAAAAAAAAAATGGATGCATTTTGGATTTAAGACAAACAAAAACATTTGTCTGCAAATATGTTTTACCCAAAACTCCTTAAGTTGTTCAGATTTAGCTTCACAAGGTTCAAATTCACTAAACTAATGCCATGTTATTGCATGAAAGGCAATAAAATATTTAATTTTGGATTTTTTAAATGTATTTCTAATAAATGCTTAAATGAAAAATCTGCAGAATGTGAATTATTAAAATCAGATTAAACGATTAATTGTCAGAGTAACCAATAGATTAATTAATATAACTGTTAGGTGCAGCTTTTAAAGTCTAAAGAAAGATTTTCAGGTAATCCAAATAAGTTATAAACAAATCCACCTCAGCAGAAAGTGTGGTTGCTTGGAAACTAAAGAAATGTGGCATTAGTTGAGACTGTTGCACAGTTCTCTACATACTAATAATAATTTATCTTCCAAATAAAGTCATACATACTGAACTTCTCCTTATTTGTCAAGCTACAGCTGTTTTATGAAGAGTTTATGTAAGATACCAACATGAAATAGATTTATTCTGTGTTTATTATAGTCTCAGCGTAAATCCAGCTGCTACAACCGAGTAGCTTTGATCAAACCATATGCATGCGATAGTATGGTCTAGTCAAAGTTCAGATGGAGGATCTGTAGCGACATTTGAAATTTAATTTTCACAGATGCTTCTCATTCAGCCTGACTGAGCTTATAAAAATGTTAATCTCCAGATGTGTAAAACTAGAAGATGCAGGCGATATGGACTTCAGCTTTTATCACAATATTTTGTGGTACCAATATAAAAACTGTAAAAGTGACAATAAGAACCATTTATTATTTTTAGGTGACCGTATGACTCTGACTGACACATAATACATGAATTTAATAATATTTTCAAAGTTATTGATATGTATTGATTGTCTTTTTGAACAAACAGTAACTAACAATCCCAATAGTTCAGACAGTTTTGGGTCTTAAACATAATTTATTGGAAATTAACGAGACAATGCTAAATCAAAATTCGTATGGTAAGAAATTTATCGCGATAAATGATAAATGATACGATAAATACTCGCCCCTAAGTAGAGGTTCACCCCCCAAAGCAGCTGAAATGGCAGCAAAATGCGAGTAAAAAGTCATTTCTGGTTTTTATCTTTATTTAGAATACCTTGAAGGAAGTGGATGTAACTCCACGATGTTTCCTGCCAACGCTTTTCCCCCATCAATAAATCTTTTAGTTTAGATTAGGAAGACTTATTCTGGACACGCTTTGAAAATTAACAAAAAAGATCTGCGTTCTCCAGGGTGTGAAGGTTAAATACCACGCGAGGCCTGACGGCCATCGCCATGGCGACGGCCCACACAGACCTGCACGTTCCTCGTCCCGCTCTCCGTTTCCTGCCTTTCTCCTCTCCACGCTGTTGATGCGTATTTGCATAGAGGGCAATTCTTTTCCTGCTCCTGTCAGGCGCTAACCTGAGCAACAGGCTCGTTGTTCAACACCCACATAACTGAGACAGAAGCCGCTATAAAGTGGACGATTCATTAGGGAAGCATAGCAACAGCTTCACATCAATCACTCGGCTTTTATTTAGGCCACATATTGTTAATTTAAGGGCTCCGAGTGGGCCGCACCATGCTGAGTCAGAACACAGTGAAATAACCAAAGTGAAGGTAATTATATAACAACACTTCAGTGAAAGAATTCAGTTAGTCTTTCTTTAAATAGAGCACTTTTATTTAACCAAATTACATAACAAACCAATAAAATGTTGCTTAACTGGACACAGCCTAAACATGAAGTTTATACACTCTGAATTAAAAGTATATTTTCTAACATGAGATCAGATGCAACTTTTCCAGTTTTAGGTCAGTTAAGATTATAGAAATTATTTCTATTTGCTAAGTGCCAGAAACATGAGAGGATTTTATAGGGATTTTTTTCTCCATACATTTGCATTTGATTTTGGTGCAATATGTAACTTTTATAAATGATAGTTTTTAACAAATATGGAAAAACCTATCAGAGACGAATAATTTGAAAAATAGAAAAATAAATAATCAAGCTTCTCACAGTGCTGCTTTTGCCATCTCCAGAAATCCAAACGGTCAAAAACAACCAATCAGAGCTACAAGGAGGGTGTTAGCGCTGTCAATCATGCTCGTGTATGCGCTGCTAATAGTATTAATGGTGGAGAAAAGACTCAACATTACAGGAAAACTGTTTATCCTTAGCTGTAGCACAGCAGAGAGAAAGGAGAGCACATACATGAGGATGATTGGCAGCATTTCTGCATTTATGTGAGGAATTCAGTCTTTAAAAAGAGCACAACTGAATGATTCAAATGTGAGAATGAAGGATTTAAAATCATATGATCGCTTTAAAGACCAACCTGTGGAGGTCCAATATCTCGATTTGTACAAGATCTCACACAAGAAAGCAGGAAGTCTGACATTTAAGAAACCAAGGATTGAAAATACTTTTAAAAATATTCTCACTCTCATTGTCCTGGCACTGAAAAAATAAAAATGTTCTAATAGGACCGCAGACAGGGAAGGTTTAGTCTGCTTTAATCTCAGACAGTAAGGAAAGTTTTGTGTATTTTTAGCTGTGGTATGTAAACATCTGGTTTTAACTGTGTACGTAGCAGAAACTGTTCAGTTTTTGGCATCATAAATCATGCTTAACCTTCCACCACAGGAGCGTAAAAGCTTTCTGAACACCCAAACCAGCCTAAAGGATGGTCATCTGGGTGAGTTTCTACAGGATGTCACTGTAATTAAAGCCCTCAGGCTTCCTGCAGAGGCATCTCTGCTGTACGCCAGAGTTTTGTTGCATCCTCATTCTGTCAAACAGCCTCACTGCACCTCACGTTAAACTTTAGTAAATTAGAAATAACTAGGAAGCTACAGAAATCTTGAAGTAGGACAGCTAAGTTCATGTTTTTGTCATCATATCTGATTTAAATGGAATTATCTGCTAAAGTTTTTGCTAAGGCTTTTTAACGACCCACTGATTCAAATCAGGCCGGGATAAAATGCAAAACATGTTGGGTGCAGGACGGCATTTTTCTACTGAAGCAATAAAAAGATGTACAGCTGATAGAAATGTGAAACAGAACCAACAGGCTTTCTGCGTCCCTAAAAATCTAAAACCAGGAGAATCGAATGTCTCCACTTTTGTCTCAAAATGACAAAACTAAGAAAAAAGGAAAGTTTACATTAGCACTTATCTAATGTAAAACACTCAAAACATTTCTGTCTGAGCTTTTTTGTTCATAAACAACTTGATTTTATTATTAAAACATGCAAAAAATATTTTAGTTGTAGTGAACTTAATTTCAATACATTTTCAATCTATTTTATTTTGTTTTATAACATTCTGACCATAAATATTTGAAGCTTTTTATTCTTATACTTGCATACACATATTTATGCCTTAGGGTTTTAGTATGTTTGTGTTTGGATCATTTTGAATATTTATTTCTGGTGTTGCCTTACTACACCACTTCAGACTTTATAACGAACCAGTGTGTCTATTTTATACTTCATTTGACAGCTACTAGTGTGTTTTTACACCTGGAGATCTGTTTCTAACAAGGAGTTTTAATCACTGGAAGGAAAAAGAATTGGGAAGTTTTCTTCTCCTGTCACACAATTAAATTAAAACAATAAGGTTGGAATCTGATTTGAGAAAAAACTAGAATTTTTGCGATTTAAATCAAAATAGCTTGTTAAAAGAAATGTGAAAAAGATTTTAGCTATTAAGTCTGGTTTTACACATTGGCACGTTTAGGCGAGGCTTACCTGTTGCAGGTCTGACTGTTGATTTTTACTTTATTATTAATATACCTTTTCCACTTTTTTTATTCACTCCGACTTAATTTTTTCTCATAATTTCTCCTTTTTTAACATAATTTCTACTTTAATCTTAAAAAATGTAATCAAAAAAATTGTTTTCTTGCAAAATTTGTAGCAATTTTTGGAAATTGTGCTACAAATTCAGAAAACTTGATGCTGGAAGTGTCTGGTTTGCACATCTCGCATTTCACTTACATTGGTGTTAAATTTCCAGATTTTCTTGACAGATTACACTAGTCATTGATACAAAAAGCAGGCATTTAACATCTGCAACAAAGGAAGCGTCTCCTATTATTGTTTTATTACTCTTGCTTTTCTGCACAACTGTTTTTTAAATTTTGAGCTTTTATGTCAGAAACCTTAAAATGCAACTTCTATAAATGTGTTTCTATATTTTCTACTTGCATAAGACATTTGTCTTCTTTTCTGCATGCAACTGAAACGCAGTTTCTCTGCTGCATGTTTTTTCTCTCAGCAAAAATAAATCAGACCACACATCTCCTTTACTTTATCTGCAGGTACAGTGACTCATCTCAGCTTTTGTGAGGCGAACTGGAACAAAATATCTGCACCACATTCTGCTCATGAAGCCGAACAGTAGATTTTCTGTCTAACATTTATTCTATGCGACTGTGAAGCCAAACAGAAATGGTCCAGGTTGCAGCTGTAAGCTGAAAAGTCGCTCACATTCGGTGTCAACAACTGCTGCCAGATTAATGACCATCATCCTTTATTTGCTGAATGAGGCAGATGCACCATAAAAACTGCAGGAAGGTTTTACAAGAAAAGCAGCTGGTGTGAAAGAAGCAGTCAAAACCCAACTCTGTGGCACATCTGTGACATACTGAGGATTTTCTGTTTGGAAAATAATAAACAGTCACTTAAAACCTACATATGTGAACTTCAGTATACTGATAAAGTTAAGCAAAAATAGTTTAAAACAGCCCGACAAAGACAAAAACAATTAAGTTATAAAAATCCCCCATAAGACTTCACTACAGGGTAGTTCTGCAGCAATGCATTCTGGGTACAGAACAGAGGTCATTTGTCTTCAAGTTGAAGTTATGACATCTTTAAACTAAAAAAAAAAAAAAAAACACAAAGAAAGCCGAATGAATGTCGTTTATTATTTGGAAAGTGAATTTCTGATTTGACTATTTGGTAACATTTTGGTTTTAGATTTTAGTATCAATACTCGGCCCAATACGTTCACATATAAAAAACTAAAAAAAAAAAAAAAAGGAGGAAAAAGGAGGAGTACATTTCTACTAAAACCACAAGAAATTTTGAACTTTATTTCAAAAATTTTCTACAAAAAAAAAAAGAAATTCTAATCTTGAGGAGTTGAAAAATTCGCAGAAAAAAAATCTGGGACTCAATTTTTTTTTTTAGATTAATCTAAAAGAAATTCTAAAAGAAAACTGAACAGTTCAGTTTCATAAGTCTAAAATTTGCTAAAAAAATAAATAATGAAAATCTCTTAGATTAATCAAAAAGTTTTGAGTTTACCCTTACTTTTTATTTTTTTAATTACAATGTCCCTCAGAGGTCATCGTTCAAAATAAACCAAGATGCTTTCTTCTAGAAACGTTTCCATGTGGTAAACAGTTTCCTGTGTGTAACATCTAATAATTAAAGCCTTCGGGTTTGGCAGATCAGCAGGCTGTAAAGCAGAATGCTACTTGCATGTTTTCTGTCTTACCGGTTCAGTGCAAAGGCATAGTGAAACTTCACGTGTGGATGAGCCATGGGGTCAAAGGTCGGCAGCTTCTCGAGAGTTTCAACCAGCTTCACAATGGACTCATAATCCTGGAAGGCAAATAAAACAATGCAGTTCAGTTTCTGCTGCACCCTTAGTGTTGACATAAAGATTGTGGGAACAGAAGCAGCTCCTGCAAAACTCTGACTTCAGCACCGTATTCATGCACACTCCACTCTCTCGAGCAGCAAATGCATGCCGGTAATTGAGTGGGCTCTTCATCATATTTTTGTTCCTTATATTTGCCTACATATTCACTCCAGCCACTGCCTGCTGAATAATTCACGACATCCTGTATGCTTGTTGTCCTAATGAAAGATTCATGAGGCTGTGCGATGCTTTTGGTGAGCAGCAGGATGTGGACAATGAATGCATCACAAAGCAGAGATGAAAGATGGGGAAGAATGGAAGTTTTAAAATGAGCGGCACAAAAGATGCGCCACAAGCTCTCCGCAGGTGGTTTGGGACGACTTGTGTTGGAGGAGAAACGATCCTCTGAAGGGATGAAAGTGGCTGAGGTGACCTCTTCCAGACATCTACCTTCAGTCGGTACGTCTGAGTTTACTTTGCTCTTAAATGTGACATTAACCTCAACTTTGAGGTTTTGTTGTTGATTTTCTGCTAAATGGGGCTGCAGCTAATGGTTGTTTTAGTAATCAACTATTACCAATGAGTAATAGATTAAAAAATGTATTTATATTACAGACATTCAGACATTTATCATCAACAAAAATACAATGGACTCGTTGATTCATAAGAGCTATTTCTAGATACTGAACTGTTTCTACTAAAGAGCAGAAAACAGTTTAAAAAACTAATTCAAGTCTTGGTAATGCTGCTCCTATGTAGCGCTGTTTAACGGTTGCCTACCAAGATGGCGGATTTCTAGAATGACTTACTTCTGGCCCAGTCTTGTGGGAACCGTCTATAATAATGAAGTGTTTCAATGGAGTATCTAATTGGGACACACGCACACCAATTATGTAATGGATTGTGTTTAACGTATCATCTGTCAAAACAATTTTATCTGGTATCTTATTGACTCATTTGTTTTGTATAAAACTGAATCTGACTTTCAGTAAATTTCCTGGTGCTTATTCTTAATTGTGCACCTGGAAAACAATTAACTTGTCTGGAAAGAGAGTTTCTAAAACCTTTACAGGTGCAGCAAATAAACATTTTATTTGTTCATACACTGTGCCAGACGAAATACATTTCACTATTTTTTTTTCAGTTAAGAACTCGAGTTTGAACACTTGGAGACATTTCTGACTGCTGCCATCCAGTCACTGAATGTTTTAGTCAAGCACAGCTCGACTGTCACAGAGACATGGGTAAACATGGCAACAGTACAACCTGGAGACAAGTCTGACACACAGCATTAAACATTTTCTAACTCAGTGCGTGTCTGTCCTCAAGTAGGAGGCAAATATCTTGTCTTTTTTGCTGCTTGCTGCTCAGAACAACATGATCCCATGTCGTTTTTCATAGCTCAGTGCTCACCTGGATGTCCCTGTATGTCAGCAGTAGGTTGATGACCACGTCCACTGAAAGACACTCCACGTTGTCCAGCCTCTGCTGAATTCGGCTCAGTTCGGCTGACAGCTCCACGCCGGTGTAAAGTTCCCGAGCTTTACGGATCTCGTTCAGAATGGTCTCTCTGAAATACTGGCTGCAGGACAAAAACGATGCATTTAGTTAGAAAAACCAATCAGATTTATGTTGAGACACATTTTTATATCAGACTGAGTTAATATGAGTTAATAAAAAAATATAATTTCATTTATTAAAGCCACGGTGACCCATGAATGCTTATGATAGGTCTTCACATTTTTTTTTACAAAATTATTTTTAGACAATGAGATTTTAGTCTGGTTTTGAATTCCTTTCACAATGAGCTGTTTTAGGGTCTCTGTCACTTTAAATCCATATAACCTCCCTCCTAAACTGTGCTGGAATTCTGCTGGGGTTGCTAGGTGACGGGCTGGGCTCTGCTGAGGTTGCTAGGTGACGGGCTGGGCTCTGCTGAGGTTGCTAGGTGACGGGCTGGGCTCTGCTGAGGTTGCTAGGTAACCCACAGTGCTGGTGGACTATGACTTAACAATCGGGCTATTTTTGAAACGCATAAAAACATTTACTTATTACTAAAAATACCTGGGTGGTTTTTATTTTTAAGTGCTTCGGCGTTTTTAGAACCACAAAAACGTGAATTTTGAATAATAGGTCCCATTTAAAAGACAAAAACTACAGTTTTTAAACACTTTAATTTACTAAAATAAATGGTGAAACATTTTCAATTTCAAAAATCCCTTTCTTTTAAAGCTATAACAATGCTATATAACCTTCAGCGGAAGTCCATGCCAGTAGAGAACTTTAACTTCCTCTTAAACAACCGCAAGGTTTCCTCAAACTGGGCATAAAGTGAATAAATGTATGACCATCCTCCTCCTAAGGTAAATATATTACAGTTAAATTTAACTGACAGCAAAAGTATTGGTATTCATTCAACTTTTTGGAAACAGTTAAATATTTTGAGCAGATCTAAAACATGAAAAACGCCAGCGCTCATGCGTGTAGTTGGACACACCTGGTTTTAATTAAACGATACACAAATATTAGAATGGGCCAGTTAAGAGAAAGACCTAAATTAATTTTTATCTGTGGCATAAACTGAACATTGATCTTCACAGATCTTATTGATCCAACTTGAGATATAATGTCTAAAACTGGTAATCTCACGTCAAAAATGTGTTTCAGCAAAGTACTGACTAATTACAGGGACATAGCAAACTTTAAAATTATTTCTATTATGACTTCACAGCATTTGAGACCGCCCTGAACCAAACTGTACAATGGTCTGCATCTACAATCACCATCTTTCCCTGGAATAAGAAGACATTTCCATCTAAACGTTGAACATGGAATTGGTGCATTTTACAGCTTTGCCATTTCTGCTTGGACCCTCTGCTGTGTCAATAAAAATGGTCCGTAAATAGAGTTCTTCCTCTGCAGAACAGCCAAAAACAGGATGTTTGTTCACTCAACATCCCTTCTTATGAGCCGCAGTGGCGAAAGACTTTTTATTAGGTTACAAAATCTTTGCAACATGACCAAAATGAAAGATTCACAGCCACGGGATGGTCGCTGATGACACACACACACACACACACACACACTGCAGGAAAGCACTCACTGAGAGTTGGCCTGTGACACTTTGAGCAGCTGAATGAAGCGGTCCAGCAGCGGCATGCAGATGGGCCCCAGCAGCATCTCGAAGCTGGGCTGCATCAGCTCCGTCAGGCCCTTCATGAGGCTGCTCTCGCAGCAGTACACCTTGTTGTGAGGTGTGACCATGTACGGGATGAAGGTGTAGTTGGCTGAACATGTCTGTGGATGGAAAACACAAACATTAACACTGCGGTGTTTTCACGCCTGACAGTCTGGTAGATTTGGTACAACTGGGGATCAAAATTGCAACTTTTGTTTCATTTTCAGCTGGTCTGTTTCTCTTTCACACTGCATTGCATCTAACAATCCAAACCCTTTGAAAAACCTGTTCACCTCCTCGCCTGTGGGGGCGCTACACCAAGTACTACTAAAGGAAATGACATAAAAACCTCAGAAGAAGACACTGAGTAAAACTTTTGTTTACGAAAACAAAAATGGGGTAATTTAAGATTTTCTTTGGTAAATGACAATGAGTCGTTTCTCCCGCTAGCGCTAAACACACGTTTGTTTTGGTTGCATTTACCCAGAAAACCCTGCGCTATAGTTCACTTCCTGCTTTCGGAGCAGTCTCCGGTCTGCTTGGCGTTCACATATGCCACCAGATTTCACTTCGACTGAAACAAGATGTAAGTTTGTAGGCGGAGTTTGAGTATTCACATCTCCCCAGATTTCCAAGACAAACTTTAATAGAGTTGGATTAAAGTGGACTAAACAGGACTGGTGTGAATGGATCCTTAGTTTCAGTCACAAAATATTCTCTTTCTTCAAAGAAATTTACACATTTAAATATTAATTTTAAATGCATATTATGCGAAACCTTATTTGGACTTTTTCAATCTTTTTTATGGCCTTTTCCTTTTCATTCATGTTTGGGTTTGTATCTTACAATACTTATAGTCATTTAAATGAGAAATCATACATGATATTTGGAAAAAGTGATGAATTCATGTGACAAAAAACACCAAACCCAGTAGAAGACAGCGCTCATCCAGGAAAAAAAGTACTGACAGCATATTTACCCAGTGAGGAGCAAAAGTTTGGAGATCCTACAAACCGGCACCCTAACTGAGGCTTTGAAGGCACTTTTTGAAAAGCTCAGTTTTACTGTAATTTTCTGAAGTGGTGGAAAATGGCTCGACAAAAATTACAGTGGATGTTTATAGCAGTTTGTGACCACAGTTATCCATCAGATCCATGAACAGCTGGACAAAAAATGTCAGTTTTAAATTGTTCAAATCACTAAACGTCTGATTTGCAACCTTCAGTTAGACAGAATTTGACACATTGTTGCACTCCAATTTCTCCCAACAGCAGCGTCACCAAATATTTCATGTTATACTTTATGGTAAAACCATCAGTCTGTGTATCATTTACAGGAATACGGCTGCACTACAGTAACGTAGCCATCAAAACGTTACAATCTTAAGCTTAGAGGTAATTTTCTGATAGAAAAGTAACTTTTATTTTAATGCTACACAAAAGCAACTTGTATGGAAAATTAAACAATCTCACATAAATTGGGAAACAGAGAAATTTATCCCTCTGACAGTTTGTAAACATGTGTTGGCAACATTTGGAGAAATTGGTTTAATTTAAGAAATCTGCACACATCAGCAGACATGTTGTACCGACATACAGAACACAAAAAGTAACAAATGGAGTAAAAGTGAATATCTTGTGGTTGGGAAACCATCTTGTTTCTAGTGAGGAAAGTAAAAGTGCTCACTCCATCATTTTATGTCTGGCTAATACTAATCAACACATTCTGGTTAGAAAGAGTTTTCTATTAAAGAACCATTATGTTTTCTGTCCAGAATACCTGCTGGTCTGGCTTTGTCGTAATATCTGCTACATCAATATCCAGACATGATACTGATGACTGAGTTTGAGCTAGATGTGCATAAAAAAGCTGCTCTTTTGCGTTTAATATTCCTCATCTGCTCTGAAATCTGGAAATGTTCTAAACTTCAGTTACAATATTTTGTTTCATTCATATATAAACAAACAACTAATTTTATTGCTGAGTTCCCATCAAATCTAACTTGATAGAGAATAAACTGGACAGCTTTTTACTGTAAATAGATGGGAAGCAGAGCTTCAGAGGAAGTTTAAGCTGCTTCCTCTGCTTAAAACTTTTTATTTCACAAAACATTACTGTGAATAAGTCAGCATAAACACACAGCAGCTGTGAGAACAGCGATAACTACGCCATTAAAAGCTGATTTTTTATTCTACAAACACCGACAGGTATGCACTTCGATGGATTTAACATTTTCCTCCAGTCCACTGAACAAATTACAGTGAAATTAACGCTGACCTGCTGCAAACCTTTGCATACACCATCACTTTCCTCCATCTTTGGCTTTTATTTTGCTTCATGTCTTATTTCTGCTGCAGCCAACAGCACCGATAGGGCTATTTATTTACATCTCATTTGTAGACACCTGTGGTTTGGCTGTAATGATAAAGCTCTGGTGGCCTTTTTGCTGCTAATTAAAGAAAGAGGAAATGTGTGGTATGTGCACACAGCTGAAGCACAAAAAGAAAACCTTGCAATGTTTTCAAAAAGAAAAAAAAACCTGTTAGACGAGCATTAGAAGCTGAAAAGCAGCTGCTTCCTGACTAACAATCTATCATGTTTTCAGCCTTTCAGCTGATGCCTTCACTGCCACTGAAAAGGAAGTGAAAGACGGCACAGTGCAGCGATGAAATCTATCAACTGATAACAACTTCCTCCTGTGCAACACAGGATAATGACATCAGCTCTCTGAAAAAAACAATAACACCCCGACCCCTGGTTCTCTTAACTAAAGCGTGCTGCAAAACACTGCTGCTATATTTAGCTTTACTGTCTGTGTATGATTCATGCCGTCACAGGAATCAAATGGCAGGTTTGTTTCCAGGAGCTCCTCAATGTTTCAGAACAGCTGCAGCTCATCTGACGGGAACTTGAACGAGTCGTTTACAGGTAAAAGCTCACCGAGGTGAAACAGACTTTGGCTCGAGGGGAATCTGAGGCCTGGGATTGATGACGAGTTGCTCTATTTGTTAGCTCGTCATATTAGCAGCTCATCCTGAACAGCCAGGCTGAAACCTGCTGTTGCAGCGTAATTAAACAGATTCTGTTGTTAACCAGCGTTTCTGCAGCTTTCACCAAAAGGGAATATATTATGCAAAACTCACATCTTCCATTTGAGTCTCAACTGCTTCTTGGCTGCTGGAAAAGACAAGTGTTTTATTGCCGCATTAACGGTGACGGAAGAAAAATAAATAAATAGTAATAAAGACATCTTCTGTT